ACGTCAGCCTCCAAATTCTTGTAGCACTGTCTATATCAGCAATTGCTCAGGGACAAACATGTGACTTTTTGCACTGTCCCTATCAGATTGGATCTTGAACTCTCCTCCAGTCCAGCAGCTCACTGGCCTCCTCCCCAAACTCCTCAGATCCTTTGTTATCTGGTTGGAGCAGGGACTTGTAGTTTACTCAGTTGGTATTAAGTGGTAGGTCCTTAGATTCCCCAGGATGGTCTCCCCACAACAGCTTGTGGGCCGTACACCTGGCATAATGCTCTTGGTGAGTGCTCTCTGAATATCTGTTCACTAACCAGTGGCATCTTAACATAGCTGTGGTGCCTGAGTACCAAGGTAGCCACATAAGAGAGGTGAGCCTTGGAATATACCCCAAAGAAAGAAGAGGCACATTGAACACAATGCAAAGCTCCTATTTTTCCCAGGGACAGCACTTAAAGCTGCCCAAATATTTCATATTCTTACTGATTCCAAAAGTTAAAAGCATAAGGCCAGCACTTGCCAAGTTATTAGACTTATTTTGGGGTGACTGTTCAGCCTAAAGTCCTCTTCTCTGAGGGCTTCCTTCCCCACCCCAGACCCAGCCACTGTCTGAATGCCTAAGTTTCCTTTGAGTTGGGCCAATGAGGGGGTCTCCAAAAAGAGAATTTGAAGAGACCCAGAGAATGAGAATCAGCTCGTGATTTTCTCTGAAGCTCGAAAGGGACAGTGTTTGGGGTGGCCATCTGGGGTCCATACCCACTGATCCAAGAATAGAGGACTAACCTGCAGAGAAAGACAGAAGAATGTAACAGACACAGGAGGGAAGCAGAGCCCAGTGACCAGGTGACACCAGAGAGAGAACAGCCATCAGTTTCTGACTGTGCACTTCACTGATGAGGCCTAGTGGAGCCTCCCGTTCTGAGGTTCTGTGAGATATTTCACAGCCTGGGTAACATGCAGCGTGCAGTAGTAGTTGTCAGGAACTCAGATTCTGGAGCCAGGACTGCCTGGGTTTAAATCCTGGCCCTGCCACTTACTAGCAAGATGCTCCAAAAGGAACTATTTTAAATTAAATACACACATCTTTCGTACCATCAGTGTGTTAAATTCCAATATCTCTGAAGTTTATAATAATCACTATTGCCTGCTAGCAAGAAGTAAGTGCTTGAATTTAACAAGTCCGCCACTTACTAGCAAGATGCTCCAAAAGGAACTATTTTAAATTAAATACACACATCTTTCGTAGCATCAGTGTGTTAAATTCCAATATCTCTGAAGTTTATAATAATCACTATTGCCTGCTAGCAAGAAGTGCTTGAATTTAACAAGTCCATGATAATAAGATAGTCTTCCTTTCCAGACTCATTAAAATCAATCAATTCCTATTTCTCACAATAAGCAAAAGGAGAAGCTACGCCAATTTCAGAAGAGCTAGTCCATGATGCCAGACGTGAGGGCTCAGAGGCTTTCTGCTGGGCCATACTCAGTAACACCCAAAGGCAAAAAGCCTCAGACAAAAACCCAAGATGGGCAACACCATTTCCATTCTGATCCTCAATGATTTCAACTATTCTGGAAGATGTTTAAATTAGCTATATTAATTAAGTGTAATTTCAGTAGAAATGTCAGGCTACTTTAAGCATTTTTTTTCCTTAAAAAAAAAAAATAGGTAACATAGATGAGCCTTTGGAACACAAAACCCAAGATGGGCAACACCATTTCCATTCTGATCCTCAATGATTTCAACTATTCTGGAAGATTTTTAAATTAGCTATATTAATTAAGTGTAATTTCAGTAGAAATGTCAGGCTACTTTAAGCATTTTTTTTCCTTAAAAAAAAAATAGGTAACATAGATGAGCCTTTGGAACACAAGTGTAGGCCCTTAGCAAAGGCTGAGGAAGCCCTGTTAAGGGGCCAGGCATCCAATGACTGTGACTGACAGCCATGACTCCCTGACATCAGAGATCCTTGTGCTTAGTTGGTTCCTAGTTAACAAGTGGGAGGAATTATTTTCATCAAGCTTAGTGCCCTTGAAAATGAACCATAGTTGTTTTAACATTCAAGATCTCTGACACCTGGCTAAACGTGGCCCTGTGTTAGGTGGCTGTCTAGGACACACAGATAAGTAATGAAGAGTCTAGAAGCAGAGCTAAAACAAGCACACAAATAGTCAAATAACTATAATACAAGGGAGAGTATGATAGGTGTTGTGGGAGTAGAACAAAGCCTACCTTGGAATTGAGTCAGGAGTAATTATGCCCCGCTGGTGAGATTAGAAACGGCACCACGGAGGAGGTGGCATTGAATTGCGCTTCAGAAGTGTGTACTATTTCTATGAGGAGAAATATACTAAAGGGGCATTCCAGCGGAGGGAAAAGCAGAAGCGAAAAATTTAGGGGTGGGAATAGAGTTGGAAAACACAGTGGGACAGAGCTGAAGAACTGAACAATCCAAGTTGACCAACCATATATGTAGAAATCTCAAGTATTAGGGGATAAAACTAGAAGGGTGTTTGTACTCCAGCCTGACTAGGAATGACTGGGTAAGTGTATCATTAAAGGTTTTGGAACAGAGTGCTGTGCTTTAGTGATTCCTGGTATAGGTCAGAGGCAGACATAGAGGCAGGAGGTTTGCACAACGGCTAGTCAGGAGGAAATGAAGTCTGGAAACAGGTTGGAGGAAGGTGGTAGTGGGAATGGACTTGAGGAAAGAAACCCACGAGGTATTTCAGAAGCTGAATCAACAGGACCCAGACACTAATGAAAATACGGGAGAGGGCAAGGGGGGATGACTGAATTGCCAATTCTAAGGAATACGGAAAGAGCAGAAACCACTGCTGGAGGAGGAACTGGCTGGGGGAAAGAGGTGGCAGAGTGAATACAGAAGCAGTGTGGCTACCCAGACAAGTGGCTAGGATAGGACCAGGGGAATGTTCTAACCCACAGCCTTGCTCCAAGCACTTCTCAATACTTCTCCAACTCATGATCACACAACCAAGGAAATGCCTGAAAAGAACAGGCAAGCATAGAGTCAATCCCCCCTAGCAGAAGCTCCACTGACTACTCAGCGCAACCTCATGAAGGCAGAGACTGTTGCATCGTTAGAGACACACCACCCTCCATCCATGAGATTCCCCAACAGGGCATATGAAGAGCTGCCTCCTGGTCCTGAGCCTGCCACTCATTACCCATGAAACCTTAAAAGATGAACCTCTCTGTCTCAATTCCTTCATTTGTAAGATGGAAATAACAATGTATACCCACCTATTTCATAGGTTTATGAGATTACACGTGAGGAGACAGAATGTTGCAAAGCACACAAATGCTAGGGGTCATTAGAAGTTCTTTGAAAGCAGAAATTACAGCAAATTCATGTGTGTATCCTTCATGGAGCTTTAAAAGGAAGGAGGGAGGGAGCAAGGTGGGTAAGAAAATTCCATATCCTGGGCCCCACAGGCAGCCTGCTGTTCGCCAGGAATACCGCCTACCAGACCTGCAGGAATATTCTCCAGCCAGAGAAACAGGAGGGACCTTAATAACCATCCAGCTCAACCTCATCGTGTAACAGATGGGAGGTTTCACCCTAAGAGAGGCCAGTGACCTGCCCAAGATCTTTAGTGGCAGAGGGGCCAGGAATATGACCAATAGCTGAAACGTCTCTACAATCACAGTTTGGACATTAGACAGTGTTTTTACCCATATTATCTTACTTATCTTCACCAGTAGCCTTTGAGCTGGGTTGGAGAAGTATTATTAAAATTCCTATTTTCATCCTGAAGTTGGATGATTTGTCCAGGGAAGGATTCAAAGCCAGACTGTCACACCCCCAAGCCCACTGCCCTTTCCCTATACCACATTTCATGCACATGCTGGTTTTTAGCACAATCATTTCAACACTTAGTATATTTCAAATTCTGTTTTATTAGAAATTCTTTTTCTATTTATTTTACCCAGCCTTCAGCAATATTTCACATTCAGCCTTTCCTGATAGGATTCTACTGACCTTTTATCTTAAAAGTTCAGTGGCCACATTTGGCAGCAGTAATATTTTTAAAACTGAATTGTCAAAACTGGGCTTTCCCATAAAAACCATCTTTACAAAGAATATCCTCACAAGTGTATCAATCCAGATGTGCATCATTATTGCACCAAATGCACTGGACTAGGACACTGAAGAGCAACAGCAGCTCACTAACTGAAGCAATTCATGCATTCACGGAACGGTCTCAAAGTGAAGTCAGCAACAGAGAAAATTATACCGATCCAGTTACCCAGAGCCAAAGGTTCTGAACCTGAATGTGTGTCTTTACTGGGGAAGGCTCAGAGAAGAGGTAGGGAAGAAAGTGCTAAGAGAGAGCTCACTGGTAACTGTCTCGGTGTCTTCCTTCCTTTAGTATAAAGGGCCAGTTGTTCCATCACAGCCTTTATTTCCAGAGCCCGTATTTCTTATTGCTCCCCTTTGCAATTCAGGGAGGAGGATTACAATTGCTCAGTCTCCTTAGGCTTGCAGAGGTTTCTCATGGGGGTTCACCAGCGGTGCGCTGACACTCCCAGGCAGTACAGTAACGGGTCAGGGAGCCCGACTGCTCAGCGGTCGTCTACTGAAACCTGCCCCTCCCCACACTTTCTCATAACAATCCTTCAGTGGTTTGGCAGTAGTTTCTGCTGGAAAGCACCAGCATTCGTCCCTCACGTGCCCCATCCTTTCTCATGAACCCACAAACCACAACTCCCCGCCGCCCTCCCCCCTCAGACTTGGCAACCACCTGGTGAAGGCACCTGCCTGGCTGCCTCGCCCCCGCCCAGCGCCCCAGGGATGCCTGTTACTGGCCGCCCCACGCAGCGCACAAGGCAGCGAGGCACAGACGCCGGGCAGGCGCCCGCGGCCTCCCCAAGGAGTGCGCTGCCCCTGGGCTGCCGGCGAGGGTAGGGGCCAGGCGTAGCCCAGAGACTAAGCCCCCACCCTCCATTAGTAAAACGCGAGGAGGGGGAAAGCTTTATTTACCGACATGAGTGATCACTGTGGCCAGTCGCCGGGTGAGCTCCTGGAGAGCCATGTCTTCTTTTAACCAAAGTAGCATTTCACCGAAAACCCACTCGGTATAAACAAAACTGTTCCTAGTGCTGCTACGGATGATTTTTTAAAAGCATCTCCTGCCGAGGGTGCTCTGCCTTCAGCCTCTTCCTCGTTCTCTGCAGGCACAGATCGAGAGTCATAGCAGCCAAGACCCACTCTCCCGGGCCGCTCGGCGGGAGCCCTCCAGCCACGCCCTGCAGGGGCTTATTTTAAAGATGAGGTCTGGCGGCTTTGCAAACCTAACGGCTGGCATTTAGAGAAAGGGAAGAGGCGGTGCTGGAGGTGAGAAAAGCAAGTCGCCCCGATCGCGCAGTAACCAGCGCCCCGGGCTGGTCCGGCCGAGGCAGCGCCGGCGTTTCTGGACTGCGGTCCTGGGCCGTCGGGTCTCCGGCGCCGCCTCCAGGGAGGGTCGCGATGAAGGATGCTGGGCAGGCGCGCTGCGGAGGCGCGGGGCCTGCGTGCGCCGAGGGCGGAGGAGGGGAGGTGGCAGGCGCCCCGGCGCCTCCGCTCCGCCCACC